GTCTAGCATTAGCACCGGCAGCGATTATGTCTGCTCCCGTCCCATGTGCGATCGCAGTCGTCTCGTCCCACCACCGCTGTACTGCACCAGCGTCGATGGTCTGACTCTGGGCGTCCTGGTATGGCACATGCAGCGCCATGAAGTTGGGATGCAGGCCTGGCGCTCGGAATCGCACTGCAATCCTGCGAAAGCCAGCGTGCACTGTATATGTTCCCGGAAAGGGCGCCGGCCCAGGGTTCTCTTTTAGTTGGTAAACCTGTCCCCCGGTGCCAACTTGAAGGAGGCCGGCGGATTTTTTCCCTGATAAATATCGAGGTCGAAGGAGGCCGGCAGATTAAAATTTGAGGATGTCTCCGGCGAAACGCTTGTTTTTGAAATCCCGATCGATAAATCACAGGGTGCGGGACACCTCAGCACGACCACACCTTCAGCATGACCACACATCAGCACGACCACGCCCAGCACGACCACGCCCCAGCACGACCACACCCCAGCACGACCACACCCCAGCACGACCACACCCCAGCACGACCACACCCCAGCACGACCACACCCCAGCACCAGCACGACCACACCCCAGCACGACCCGATCGATAAGTCACAGGGTGCGGACCACCCCAGCACGACCACACCCCAGCACGACCCCACCCCAGCACGACCCCACCCTAGCACGACCACACCCCAGCACGACCACACCCCAGAACGACCACACCCCAGCACGACCCCACCCCAGCACGACCCCACCCCAGCACGACCACACCCCAGCACGACCACACCAGGACCCCACCCCAGCACGACCCCACCCCAGCAAGACCACACCCCAGCACGACCACACCCCAGCACGACCTCACCACAGCACGACCACACCCCAGCACGACCACACCCCAGCACGACCACGCCCCAGCACGACCACGCCCCAGCACGACCACGCCCCAGCACGACCACCCCCAGCACGACCACCCCCCCAGCACGACCACCCCCCAGCACGACCACCCCCCAGCACGACCACACCCCAGCACGACCACTCCCCAGCACGACCACACCGCCTTGGTTGAGTGGTTGCCTGTCGTCGTGGAATGTTTCGTGGGGTGTCTCGTGGAATGTTTCGCGGGGTGTCTCGTGGAATGTTTCGTGAGGTGTCTCGTGGAATGTTTCGTGAGGTGTCTCGTGGGATGTTTCGTGAAGTGTCTCGTGGGATGTTTCGTGGGGTGTTGCCCAGTTGGGTATCGTGAAAACGTGTCCATGCTCCACATGTCTATATCCCTTTCCGGGTTCGTGGGTCCATCATGTTTTTTCCTTTTCGGGTCATGTAGGGGATCACCGTCGAAAAACAAGCTTCGATTCCAAAATTTCCCCCATCACCTTCAGCAGCCATGATGAAGCACCCGTCCGCATTTCTCGACTCCGCAGGGGTCTTAGTCTCTTGAATCCCGACCACCGAAGCCCCGTGATAGGCAAGTTGCTTCCGGACGATTTTGGCACGATGCCTCCTCTTGGCTCTCCTTGGGTTTTCGACCATGGACATGGCGTTGAATGAAGCCGCGATCAGGGACGTATCTCCAGCCAGAGTCGACGGAGGCTCCGACCCCCTGACAAGGGCATCAGCTGGGAGGACATCTTCGGGTCTGGAGGTCTGCTGGGCCCTAATTGGGGTGACGAAGCTGGCCAGGCCCTCTTCCACAAGCGACAGAGGGGCATGCATCAGCATGCCCAACCCAAGTCCAGACATCGCCTACCACAGGGGTCATGCGACTAGCCCAGTCTGGGTCGCGCAGGGCTGTTGAGCCGCGCTCGCGCTTCGAAACATCATCGACCAACTCGTTCCATGGGTGAGCTTGGTGGGATGGCACGCGCCTGGAACTAAGGAACTAAGTCCATGTTTGGCCCGCACCTCCTGCGCCAGACCTCGCGGAAGAGTGCCGAGCTCTGGGTGGGCCTCAGACATAGCTGGGCCCTCGGCAATCGGAATAGCGAAGGCATAATCATATTCGATTGTGAAACTCAAGGCAGCGCCTTGCCGTTGAAAACCTAGCCAGAGCAGCGCCCGCAAGATGGCGCCCATCTCTGGAGAGGCGTTGCTGAACTTGTTTGCGCCTAGAGGAACTCCAACGTAACAAGTTCCTTGTTTGAACACCCAAGAGAGAAAGATCTCTCCGCGCCCCTGGCAACGGCGGCCATCGCCCAGGCCGCCGCGCTCGGATTCTTAATGCCGAAGGACCCGCCAACAAAAGCTGCGACGTGGCCGTGCACGTGCTGGTGCTCTGGGCACAGATCGAGGCCTAGCTTGGCGCGTCGGTGGAGGTCTGTCTGGTCGACCTCCGCGCGCAGGACGACCTGGCAGTCATCCTTTAGTCAGTAAGCCTCCTTCTTCCCCGAGCTCGCAGGCGATGCTAGCTGTGGGCTCGTCGTCCACGATGGGCGCGACCATCGGAATCCTGGAATCGAGGTCGAGAACGGCTGGGCCTCGATCGTGGTCAAAACTGCCCTTCGGGTCTGGACTCGGCAAGCCGCAACCCCCATCGAGAGAAGGGGGGGCGGATGCAAGGAAAGGGACTCGACAGAATGGAAGAAGACTGCCGCACTGAAGGCGGCTCGCGGCTTTGGCCTGACGCCAGAGCTCGCGCTGACCAGGGATGGCGGGGGGGGGGCCCGGTAGAGTCTATATGCATATATGAGTGCGCCTGTCTACCCGCATCAGGCGCTGTTTCATACTCTGGGCTTACACTCGCCATGCGGGTCCTGCGCGGCGCTCCTGGCTCCCCCATCGCTGGGGGCCGTGATGTCGACAGCCTGGCTGCTGTTGGCATCCTTCATCTGGTACATCACCTCCTTCATCGTGTTGGGCCGCCGGCTGCTGAACGGCGCCATGGCGCAGTCGCTGATCTTCATCTTGGTCTTGTCTTTGATCGGTTTCTTCTTCGAGGTTGGCGTTCTGACCTTCTGGTGTGGCCTCGCACTCGGACTTCTCGATTTCGTTGGTCTCCTTCTGGGTTTCGATCTCGTTCCCAGCGAATAGGATCCGTCCGAACTGTTCTCGTACTTGGCTGCCCTTTCTTGCATCATGGGCTCTCGCTCCGTCGGCGTCAGGACCACGCCTGGGGGTGAGGCTGCAATCGTACTGGGACGTGGCGATGGAGGTGCCGTCGTCGCAGCTTGAGGTATATGCTGCATCATCTGCTGCATCTGCTGCATCTGCTGGACCACTGGCTGAAAGTGGCACACTATCAGCTTTTGAACCTGTTGCTGCTGTTCTGGAGGTGCGTGGCACGTCATTTCCTCCTGCGCGGCACGCTTCGTCTCGATCTCCATCCGCAAGTCCTGCTCGTGGGCTATGTATTCTTACTATTCTTGGTCTTCTTGGATCATGGCTCGGATCTTGTTTTAGTCTCTCATTGATATCCGTAAGGGCTTCGCCCCATGCCGCCGTCCCCCTTCCTCGGAGAATGGGAGATGCAAAAGCTAAATCATGAGGTCTGGGCGCCGCCGTGAAGAAGTGTTGGGACTTGTTTGTTTTTCGACCTTGGCTCCGCCGATTTGCGTGAGGGGCGCAACCGGATGTCAGGAATGTTGCAAATCCCATGTGTTTTTGGACCCTGACCCCGCCGATTTGCGTGAGGGTGTGTTGTCGAATTTCAGAAATGTGGTAAATGTCTTGTGTTATTGGACCCTGACCCCGCCGATTTGCGTGAGGGGTGCCAGCAAATTTCAGACATGTGGCAAATCCCTTCTGTTCTTGCACCCTGACCCCGCCGATCTGCGTGAGGGGTGCCACCGAATGTCAGACATGTGGCAAATCCCTTGTGTTTTTGGACCCTGACCCCGCCGATGTGCGTGAGGGGTGTTAGTTTTTAACCACCCCAGCAATTCAGATCACACGCTCAGGGCGTGCTAAGCCTGCCCGTTTGGGTCTCCCCCCCCTCGCGCGGTCCATCAACAAGGAACAGTAAGCAGCAAGAAGCAGAACTGTAACAGTGGAAACTGGAAGCTGCAACTGGTACAGGAAACTGCGAAGCTTCGGCCTACAGCCTGGTGGCCGGCGGATTTTTCTGCCCAAGATAATATGTTATGTTGGATCTCCATTGCGTTGTTGGCGGCATCTACAGTCGGCCCTGATTAGTAGGTCGACCCTGCCAAGTCAAGTGTGCCCTTGTGTCCTGTGCCTCGCGGCCCATGCCTTCTTGTATTCCTCTGGCAGTGTGGCCCCCGGAAGGGTCTCGTGTCCTCTCGCGTGTCCTCTCCAATCAAGTCCGACTGTACTCGCAGCACAATCCTCGCAATGGTAGTCTCTGTCCACGCGCTCTGCTGCTCCAGTGATTTTTCTAAAAACAACATTCTGCGTGGAACCGCGATCTGATCGACGATATCCTGCACTGTTTCCTTCATGGCCCAGGCGATCTTGTATCTCTGCTGGAGCAGGTTGAGCTTGGACTTCGTCTCTTTGTAGTAGGTTTTCTTCTCGCTTTGGTCGGCCTTGGGAGACAAAGGCTTGTAGTTGGGGTTGGCGTGAGCCTCCGCTGGAGTGGCCATCCTGACGAAGGGCGGTCCCTTGATCTCCTCCTCCTCGTCCTCCCAAGTCCTCGAATCGATCCTTTTCTGACTGTTTGACCGCTGGCGTCGTCTGTCTGGGCTTGCCACTCGGTTCTCGTCCAGTTGAGACCTTCCAGTCACTTCCAGGTCGCTGCCTAGTGCGCCATCTGTAGTGGCGTCTCTGGATCTGAGAGCCTGGGCTGGGACTAAACCTGGAGCTTGGGGCGAAAGAATGTGGAGGGCAAGCAAGATCTCTGCCCCCCCTCGAAACGTCTTGGCTGCCGAAGTGGTCGCCTGTCGACTAAGGCGTGGGGTCTTGGTCCTGCCCCTCGGCCGCGGGCAAGTTCAAGCACCCAGGACGTGGTGTTTGAACTTGAGAGCCAAAATATCTACGGTCCTCCTCCTCCTCCTCCTCCTCTTCCTCCTCTTCCTCTTCCTCCTCCTCCTCTTCCTCCCCCCGCACGCGCCTGCAGGAGCGCTCAGGCGGCGTATCCAAGCGCCCCGGCAGCGTCCTGGAGCGGCCCGAGAGCGCCAGGATGGGCTCTCAGGCCTGGCCAGACGTCTTGAGGATGCGGGTGGCGTCTTCGTCGTCGTCGGGAGTGAGGGGAGAAGTGGGAGGAGGAGGCGGAGGAGGTGGAGGAGGCGAAGGTGGCGGAGGAGGCGCATGCGGTGGCGAAGGCGCAGGCGGTGGCGGAGGCGGAGGCGGAGGCGGAGGAGGAGGAGGAGGAGCAGAAGAAGGAGGAGGAGGTGAGGAGAAAGGTGATGAAAAGGAGGGGGGGCGCAGGCAAAGGCTCAGGAGGATGTCGGGTGACGGCGGCGGCCACGACGATGATTATGACCACGACGGCGGTGGCGGCGGCGACGGCGACTACGACCACGACCACGACGGACGACGATGACGACGACGGACGACGCCGCCGCCGCCCACGCCGCCGCCGCCAACGACGCCGCCGCCGACGACCACGACCACGACCACGACGACACATCGGACCAGGGACGAGGAGGAGGAGGGGGAGGAGGAGGAGGATGACGACGACGAACAACGACGACGACGACGACGACGACGACGACGACGACGACGACGACGACGACGACGACGACGGCGGCGGCGGCGGCGGCGACGAGGAGCGGGAGGGGCATGGCCTGGTGCACCTCCGCGCGCGAGGCGTCGCGCCTGGACACGGACGAGAGGAGGATCGGCGGCGCCGCGATCATGGCCGAGGCGTGGGGTAGCTTCGGAGGAGGATCGAGGGTTTTGAGGAAGAGGAAAACGGCATACATACAATATGTCGGAGATCCGCGCTGGTTTCTTGTTTAGCGCTGGACCCCTCTGGCGGGGCCTTTGGCGCGCTCTGTGCTCCAAGGAGGGAGTCCAGCGCCGATCCAAGAAATCCTCGAGGAGATCTGGGCGTTTGTGTTATGCAGCGTCCTTTTTAGCACCTAATCTGCAAGGTTTCTATGTGTCTGGCTCGCAAGAGGGGCCTGGGGGCCGTTCGTTGCTGGCCCCGGAGTCGGTGGGTTGATGGTCTCCCATTTGGTCTTCCGCATCGTCTACCCGCAACGTTTCCCGTATTGCTCTGCGATTTCCCCGTGTGCTCTACTGTCTGCTAGCAAGGTCAAGCCACATTGTCTTCTGTTCCTCTTCCTCCTTCTCCTTTTGCTCGAACAGTAACCTACTCACTTCTCCTGCCCTTGTTGCCATGTCCGTAGCCATTTTGGCCCAAGGCTAAGCATGTGAAGGTAAAGTGACATACCGAATCACGATTAGCTTTGGATGCCTCCGTTGGCATTTCCCAAGCTATTTGTGCAACCGCGTCCAGGTTTTGCGCTGGACCGCTTTCTCTTCGTGTGAGCTCCTGCTGGAGCAATCGTTCCCCAGCCAGATGTCTTGGCGAGCCCGCGCCCCATGGAACCAGGGGCGAGGCGCGCGCCAGGCGCAGCATACGTATGGATATGGCTATCGTGGTGATGGTGGTCGTCGCAGCGGTGCTCGCGGCGGCTCATACTCAGTGTGTTCGGTGTGCAGCCATTGGGATTTTGACAAGTGCGGCAATGCTTGCTGCAGCGTCTGCGGCGGCAGCTACCTCAACCACGGCGACGCCAGCGACACCAATGTGTCCAACACTGCGCAGCTTGCCAACGACTTCGCGGAGTTGGCCAAGAAGTACCCTCAGATGGCTGGTCTTCTCGGGCAGGTTGGCCAGCGGGCCGCAGTGGAGTCTGTCGCGCCCCTTCCGCCTCCGTCCAGTGACAACGACTTGGAGAAGCAGGCCGAGGCCAAGCGCACCGAGCTGGCAAAGGACGTGGAGGTCCAGTCTCGAACAGAGAGGGTCGCCCAGACCGAGGTGCAGTCCAGACACGGTGCTGTCATTCGTCACCGCGAAGCTTTGGCCCAGGCCGAGGCTAAGCATGTGCAGGCGGTGCAGTTTCTTCAAGAGAAGCAGGTCGCCCTCCGCGCGGCCAATGCCGAGAAGGAGTCGTTCGTGGCGGACGACTACCGACGACATTTTCGTGATGGGGGAATATCGAGCGCGCGCGGAAGCACAGCGCGCATTCCAAGCCCAACAAGAAGTTGCTGCAGTGGCCGCAGCAGGAGATCGTGCCCAGGATGTTCCACATGGTGGGCCTGCTGGTGTGCCGCCTGGTCTAATTCCTCCTTCTGGTGTTGCTGGCGTTCCTCAGGCTGCACCAAGCTCAGGCCCAGTGGCAGGTATCGGTGGCTTTGGCGGGCACGCTGGCGTCGGCCACGGTGGCGGCGGCACGGGCGCTGCACCGCCGCCTAACCTTGGAGGGCTCAGCGACGAGGCACTCCAGGCATGGTGCAGCGCCCACAATCAGAGGTACGAGTTTGGGAACGAGATGCGGCGCATGGAGAAGGCCATTCAGCTTGAAGTACCTGATTCGGATATGGCTAGCGAGTGGGGTGATAATCATGTTGCTGAGTTGGAAGGCCTCAAGAAGCGATCGTTGGAAGCCGCCCTCTCTGAGTCTGTTCGGAATCGATTGGAAGCACTACCCGTGCGCAAAGCCTCAGAGAAGGCTCGCAAACGACTCAAGAGTATACGCGAGGACACCACCGCCAGCTTTGGGCGCGTTCTGGGACAGGTGGCACCGCGAGCAGGAACCCCAGTGGCGCAGGCACCCCCAGCAGGCGGCGGACGCGGACTTCCTGCAGCTGGCGCCGGAGGCGCTGGAGCTCCTGAGCAGCAGCCGCGTTTTTAACAGGCGCACGGGCGGCGTCGAAGCTGCTCAAAGTATCGATTTTTGTTCTGCAACACCACTGCGTGGAATGATGTTGCGCTTTCGTTTGTTCAGAGCGCGAAACCCGACTGTGGCGGTTTTTTTTGGCAGAGCACCACCTTGTTGGAGACGAGACGAGTCTGGCCAAGCGAAAGGCCAGGCCGATGAAGTGGAATCTCCATTTTTTGGACGGTACCCCCCCCCCAAGGGGGCGGCTCTCACGGCGGCGTTGGTGCGTTGGTTTCCCGAGGCTTGAGCTTTCGGAGATGTTTGCTGTCTGTTGGGTCCGTGAAGGATCTAGGCTCTGGCAGCCAGCGGCTCTTCCTGGAATTAAAGACGAAACGCGCCGTGGTAGCCGTAGGAGTAGTTTATTTGGTGCCGGGCATGGGTGTTTATGGAGAGAATGTTGAACGTCTCCGTGAAATATTTGAATTCTTGGGGGCTCTGGCTATACCGTGGGCCCTCATGGGAGGTTATAACATACTTGCTGAAGATCTGGATCTCTCCGGATTCCCTAGATTGGCGAGGGGTAGAGTTCTGGCGCCCCAGGGCATCGAGTTCACCTGCGCCCAGGGACGTGGGCCCCTCATTGATTTCGTCGTCGCATCGGAGGACATTGCTAGTTATGCGGCTGTTGCCAAGTATAGCTCCTCCCCGTTCAAGCCCCACGCGTGCCTGAAGGTTTCCGTGGACCATGCGGCTGTGGAGCAGCCACTTTGGCGGCGCGTGAAACCTCTGCCCTTCCCTGATTGCCCGGGCCCTGATCTTCCGCGGGAAGTCTTATTGGAGCAGAATGTGGATGAAAGGGGGCAGCGACCCCCCCCACTCCCGTTTTCTCATTGGGCATCTCTTACCTCATGCGCATGGCCATCTCTCACCGCAGCTGACGGAACAGCATTTGCTCTGGAGTGGGGCGACTGCGCGAATGTTATTATCCAGAGCCTGCGCCGTTGAGATTGAGCCTGGAGGCTGCGGCGAACGAGGAGGCGATTCGCATTTTAAGCTTCCCAAAATTGGCAGGGGAGGCTTTTGTGGCCAGAGCTTCCAACAACCACCGTTATGCTTCTGGGCCCACGTCTCTCGATCTCTGTGGGAATACCGTTTAGATCTGGCCAAGAAATCCTAGACAAAGGTCTCTTGGGGCTCCCAGCTGTCGGGCAGTCTTGCTGGGCAGGTCCATCTACGCTGGCTCCCTGGGGGCCCTCGACCAGCTGAGTGGTGGACTGCTCGTTGGGCCAATGTTTCCCGAAGCGTTTCTGAACTTGATGAGCTCACTGATGCACGCGCTGCTGCAGTTACCAAGGCTTGGACAGCATCGCGCGCTTCGCCCAAGGACGGCATGAAGAAGTGGCCGTTGAAGGCCCTGCCGCGTGGAGCTAAACGAGTGCACTCCTGGCTTAAGCTTGGCCAAGGGGTTGATCTTGAGTATCTGGTTACCCCCGAGGAGGTTAAGCAGCTCCCTCAGGACCTTATGGCATATCGACAAAAGTTCTGGGGCGGATTTTGGAGTTCCCCCCCCCCCCTCTCCCAGTAAGCGTGGGGCTCTCTTTCTGGGGTCCTGGATGTCCTGAGACCTGTGTCGCTGCGTGCGGCGCAGGAGATAGGCCCCCATTGACCCTCGAGATATCGCGGGGGCCTCTCGAGTGTTTCGTATTGAGATTGCGGTCGGGGTGGGCTGTTGGGCTCCTCGGCTGTTGGGCTATTTGCCTCGTGCCGCTGTTGGGGTTTACGCTGATCTCTTCAACCAGTGCGAGTCGCTCGTGGTGTGGCCGACCCAGGAGATGCTCGGCACTATTGCCGTGTTGCCCAAGGCTGCGGACGCGGAGCGTCCAGTGTGTAAGCGCCTACCCTGCATAGGATTTATTGCGAAGCCAGAGGAAGGGGCATCGATGACTGGAACGTCCAGCGGCCCCATTTCTGGGGCACCGCTATTCGGGGGTCATCTGCTCTTCAGGCCGCCCTTCTCAGAGAAGTAGGGCATGATATTGCGCATCACCTGAATATGATGTCCGTGGGGTTATATGGGGATTTGAGTGCGTTCTTTGGTGCGGTTGGCCCTTATCGCCTGGCTGGATTCGCTATGGAAACGGAGTGCCCCGTGTTCCTGCTGCACTTGGGGTTATGATGCATGAGGCCCCGCGCATCCTGGAGGTCGGGGGCTTCGTCTCGGACCTCATCCCCACTGGGTGCGGGGTCCTGCCAGGTTGTAGTCAGTCTATGCCGTGGGTTAACATATATTTGTATGACTTGCTTGATTTTGTTCACGCTCACTATAAACCAATTGGTACCCGAGCTTACGTGGGCGACATCACTATGACCCAGCAAGGCACTCAGTCCGAGATCTTACAGAGCATCCTTCCTGCTGCGGCTCACTTGTGTCATGAGCTGGAGGCTGCTGGCGCCATCATCTCAGATGAGAGTGCCTCTGCCTGCTCGGATCGGGATCTGAAGGACGAGTTGACGTTCCAGTTCCAGACGGCAGGGCTTCCCATTCGTCCTGAGGAGAAGGTTAGAGATTTGGGGGTCATGACCACGGCTGGAAAACGATTGTGCGTTTTCAAAGTTAAGCAGCGTAAAGCTAAAGCTAAGAAGATGGCGTCCAAGGTGAGGTACCTCACCACGTTGGTGGGTCGGGCCAGCAGGCTTTACAAACCAGCGGTGCTTGCGGTGGGATCCTGGAGCCATGAGGTGCTTGGCTTGACGCCAGCGCATATCCAGACCACGCGCGGGCAGGCCGCGGTTTGCTCTGGATGATGGGCCCCAGGGGCCTGTACCACCACTGTGTTAGGGCTCCTTCGCCCCGCTGCGGATGACCCCAGTTTAGGCTTCGGTAAGAGCAATTGAATGGATTTGCTACCGTGTGGGACGGTCTTGAGCATAGGGAACGATGGACATTGCGCGTACCTGGGCTATGATTTTGAAGAAGTGTTCTGTCACGCAGCACCGATGGTAGGTTGTTCGAGGTCCGATAGCAGCCACCAT